GCACTGTTATTTTTGTTTGTTGTGAGGGGGTCTCCGGCTCTTCGGCCTCTTGTGTACTGTTTTGGCGTGGTTGATTGTAGATCTTAGTAACTTGAGCAGAGTTGAATTTAAATGATTCTGGCGAGGTCGAATATTAAGTAGTCCTAGCGAAGTCGAACGTTAAAGTAATTCGAGTGAGGTCGAATGTTAAAGTAATTCGAGCGATGTCAAATTTTTTCATTTGGCGATGTCCCTTGGCCGTAGGGGTCTTATTTCGAGTTAAGGTCGAAATGTTAACCTGTTGAAATTCGAGCGAGGTCGAATGTTAAAGTAATTTGAGCGATGTCGAATTCTTCTTTTGGCGATGGCCCTTGGCCGTAGGGGTGTTATTTCGAGTTAAGGTCGAAATGTTAACCTGTTGAAATTCGAGCGAGGTCGAATGTTAAAGTAATTCGAGCGATGTCGATTTTTCTTTTGGCGATGGCCCTTGGCCGTAGGGGTGTTATTTCGAGTTAAGGTCGAAATGTTAACCTGTTGATATTCGAGCGAGGTCGAATGTTAAAATAATTCGAGCGAGGTCGATTTTTTTCTTTTGGCGTGGCCCTTGGCCATAGGGGTGTTATTTCGAGTTAAGGTCGAGATGTTAACCCGTTGGAATTCGAGCGAGGTCGAATTTAAGTGATGGAGAATAAAATGTTGCTTTATTCACTCATTGGAGAATATCTTGGTGGAGAGTACAAAATGTTGCTTTATTTCATTCACTGGAGAATACTATACATGTTCATTTCATACACATATTGGAGAAGTTTCCATATATCTAGTCCCTTCATCTTTCGGCATGGAGAGACAATTGGCAAGCGGGGCGATGAATTATACTTTGAACTTCGAGGCATCCCCTTCGTCGCCTCGATAAAAACCTACCCGAGAAAATCCAATTGGGATAAAACCTGGGCGAGGGAAAAAGAGTACGATTTTGGGGGGCATCCTTTTTCAGAAGTTGAAGTATTTGAGGTGAACGACGTTCCAATTGTTTGGTAGTAGTTTTTCTTCTATTGTTTCTAGTTGGAATGTTCCTTTGCTTGCTGTTGCAGTGATTTTGTATGGCCCGTCCCAATTGGTTCTTAATTTGCCTTCCTTCGGATCTTTGCTTGCCAGTGTTTTGACTTTGAGAACATAGTCTCCTACTTTGAGCGGTCGTACTTTGACCTTTTTGTTGTAGTACCTTTCTGCCTGTTGTTTTTGGGCTACCATTCTTACGTAAGCCATGTCTCTTCGTTCTTCTGTTCTCATCGTTGTCTCTTCCACTTTCATTGGAGTACCTTAGGCTGGGTTCTCCGACCTCAACAGGTATCATGGCGTCAGTCCCGTAGAGTAGTGAATATGGCGTTTCGCCTATGCTTGTTTTTGGCATAGTGCGGTAGGCCCATAATACCTATGGTAGCAACTCCGGCCACAAACCTTTAGCGTCCTCAAGCTTTTTCTTTAAAATGTTCAGTATTGTCTTGTTGGAGGATTCGGCCTGAGCGTTGCCTGCGGGATGATATAGCGTGGAGAGTATTCTCTTGATTTGCCATTTCTTGAAGAATGAGGTGGTCTTTCTCCAGGTGAACTGGGGCCCATTGTCGCAACTGATTTCTTTAGGGATGCCAAAATGGCATATGATATTCTTCCATATGAATGCGATGACCTCCTGTTCGCGTATTTGGGTGAACGCACCTGTTTCCACCCATTTGGAAAGTAGTCAGTTAAAACTAAAAGGAAACGTATCTTACTTTGGCCTGCTGGGAGGGGTCCGACGATGTCCATCCCCCATTTGATGAACAGCCATGGCGAAGTAATAGGGTGGAGGTGTTCGCCCGCTTGATGTATCATAGGTGCATATTTTAACACTGTTTGCATCTTTTGACATAATCTGCGGCTTCCTTTTTCATGGTGGGCCAGTAGTATCCTACCCTAATAAGGCATCTGACGAGTGCTCTGTTGCCTGTATGGGCACCGCAATTACCTTCGTGTACTTCTTCGAGCATGCGCCTTGTCTGACTCGGCCCTAGGCATTTAGCCAAGGGGCCGCTGAACGTTCTCTTGTAAAGGTCGTGATCTATAAGGTTGTACCTGGCCGCCTGCATTCGAAGCTTTTTCGATTCCTTTTTGTCTTGTGGGAGTATTCCCTCCTGCAAATATGTCATGATGCGGTTGCGCCAGTCCCAAGTCAAATTTATTAAATATACCTCAATTCGGTCTATTGACGAGTGGAGGACGGTGGCCACATTCTCCTTGGTGATATTTTTGGTTGCCACTGCCAGTTTGGTGAGGCCATCAGCTTCGATATTTTACGCCTAGGGTATCTGTTCGAGTCGGCATTCATTGAATTCTGGCAGTAGTCTATGGATTTCTGCCTGATATTTCTGTAGCCTTTGCTCCTTGATTTGGAAAGTCCTAGTGACTTGGTTAAAAACAAGTCGCGAGTCGTATCTGAGGACGACTCGTCGTGCTCCGTATTTGAGGGCTAGCTTTAATCCTACAATTACGGACTCATACTCGGCCTTATTGTTAGTCATTTTGGGGCACCGTATGGATTGGCGTATCACTTCGCTCGTTGGGACCTCAAGTACGAGTCCAGTCCAGATCCCGACGCATTAGATGCGCCATTGGTGTAAAGGATCCAGAGGTCGGGCTGTCTAGGAGAGGTGCGAAGCGTTTCCTGCTCGACCTCAAACAATATTTCGGCACTAAAGTCAGCGACAAAGTCGGCGAGTACCTGTGATTTTATCGCCGTTCGCGGATGATATGTTATATCGTGCTCGCTCAATTCTCTGGCCCACTTGGCCAATCTTCCCGATAATTCGGGTTTATGCAGGATGCTCCTTAGAGGGAAAGTCGTCACCATCGATATGGGGTGACATTGAAAATACGGTCTGAGCTTTCGTGAAGCTACGACCAGTGCCAGAGCCATCTCAAGGTGGGGATACCTCATTTCGGCATCGACCAGGGTTTTGCAAATATAATAATTCGGAGATGGCGTACCTTTGTTTTCGCGGACCAAAACTGCGCCTACCGCGACTTTTGAGACTGCTAGGTAGACTAGGAGGCGTTCGCTGGGTTCTGCCTTGGCGAGTAGTGGTGGCGAGGACAAGTATGCCTTTAGTTTTCTTAGGGCCTCGATGCAGTTTGAATTCCATTGGAGCCCGTTGTCTTTTTTTAGCACATTGAAAAACTTATGGCATCTGTCGGATGACCGTGAGATAAACCTTGACAGGGCGGCTATCCGGCCAGTCAGCTTTTGTACCTATTTTTTGCTGGTTAATATTTCGGGTATTCCTTCGATGACCTTGATCTGGTTTGGATTGACTTTGATGCCTCTTTGTGATACCAAGAAACCGAGGAATTTGCTCGATGTCATGCCGAAGGCGCATTTTTTGGGGTTTAGCTTCATTTCGTACCATCTTAATATGTTGAATGCCTCTGTAAGGTGGTCGATGTGGTCCTCTTTCCTTTTGGATTTGACCAACATGTCATCGATGTAAACTTCCATTGTTTGCCGAGTTGGTCTTTAAACATTTTGGTGACCAACCTTTGATACGTGACCCCAGCGTTCTTTAATCCGAATGGCAAAACCTTGTAACAGTACGTTCCCTGATGGGTGATGAAAGTAGTTTTCTCCTGGTCTTCCTCCTCCATGAGGATTTGGTTGTAACCCGAGTAGGCATCTAAAAAGCTCGGTAGTTCATGTCTTGCTGTTGCATCGATGAGTTGGTCGATATGAGGCAGGGGAAAAGAGTCTTTCGGGCATGCTTTGTTTAGATCTGTGAAATCTACACACATCTGCCATTTCCCGTTTTTATTCTTTACCATGACCACATTTGCGACCCATCGGGGATATTTTGAATCTCGGATAGAACCATTGGCGAGCAGCTTATCTTCTTCATCTCTGACGGCCTCATTAATTGCGGCATTGAATTTTCTCCTTATTTGTCGTATCGGTGGATAGAGCGGGTCGACATTCAACTTGTGCGTAGAGATGTATTTCGGGATGCCCGGCATATCTAAGTGGGAGAAGGCAAACAAATCGGCATTGTTAGCTAAGAATTTATGAAATATACCTGGTTCTGTGAGATTGTGCCCGATATAAGAATTTTTTGTGCTATCGCTGCTGTTTAGTTGGACGGGATCGAGATCTTCTACTGTCGACTCAACGGCTTCCACGATGTCGGGATCCTTGATAACGTCTACCCGTGCATCTGATTTGGTTCCTGACATCGCTAATCGCTATGCCTCCGCGCTTGTTCCCTTTAGTTGTTGGGTGTTTGTGCAATCTTGGGTGATACGATAGCATTCTTGAGTAGTGCGTTGTTCGCCTCGGATGCTGAATACTCCCCATGGGGTAGGGAACTTGATTACTTGATATAGGCTTGACAGGATGGCCCTCATGGCGTGTATCCACGGTTGTCCTATGATGGCGTTGTAGGTTGTATCTTGGTCCATGATATGAAACGTTGTTTCTAGGGTGACTCCTCCGGCCAAAACGGGTAGCATTATTTCTCCACAAGTTCGCTCAACTGCATTATTAAAACCTGTTAGTGTTATGCAACGCGGTATTATCTTGTCCTCGAGTCGCATTTGTACAAGGACTCGAGGATGGATAATACACGCGCCGCTTCCGTCATCTACCATTATTCTTTTCACATCAGTATCTGAAATACGTAAAGTAATGAAAAAAGCATCGTGAGGGAAAGTCAAACCGTCGGTATCCGACTTATCGAAGATGATACTGTCTTCGAGGTCGTCATAACGTTTGTGGGTGATCGACCGCTTGAGTTTGTGTGTAGTGGTGAATTTAACATGGTTGATCGCTGCTTCGCCGCCTCCGCTCACGATCATTTGGACAGTACGAGCAGGGGAGGGTGGCTTTGGAGACCCCTAGTGTTGTTCACGTCCGCGACCGAAGTTGGCTCGCCCCCGGTCGCTCATTAATTCTCTCAGGTGCCCTTGGTTCAGCATTCTCACTACCTCTTGCCGCAGAACTATGTAGTCCTCGATTTATGGCCCCGCTCCTGGTGGAATTCACAGAGGGTGTCTGACTTCCGAGCATTCGGGTCGAACTTCATCTTTTGTGGCCATTTCACCTTCGTACCGAGCTTCTCTAGTGTATACACTATTTCTGAAGGGGAGACACAAAAATTGTGAGCAGATAAGAGTGGGGGCATACCTCTTTCGTTTTGCTGAGTCCCGGTGTGAGGCCTAGGAGGCCCTTCCAGGTGTCGAGGAGGTGGTGGGGCGACTGTTCAGATGTAAGGCTGATGTCGTTATCGACCGAGATGGGGACCCAGCGGATCCCTTCGATCGCCGCTACGACGATCTTTCCTCGATTTTTCTTGAACTGATGTCAGCCGTTGGGTCGGACCGTTGAGATCGTCCTCGTCGGCTCTCACCTCGGCGCAATAGGCATTGTGAAATTCTTCCCAAGTTGTGTATGGGGGGGGGGTGTATTTCATGAGCCTGTTTAATAGTTTTCTGGTTGCTCTCGACCTGTTCCTGCTCAACCCGTTCTGGAAGGCTGCTACTGCCATCCCCTCTGATACATTTGGCAAGCTCATCCTCACCCTGTTAAAACGGGCGAGGAAGTCCCTGAGTCCTTCGCCAGGCGATTGCCTAACGGCGAATATGTCGTTCACCCTAGCTTCCGCCTTTTTAGCTCCTGCATGAGCGGTGACAAACTTGTCGGCCATTTCCTCGAACGTTGCTATTGACCGTGCCAGCAATTGTGAGTACCAGGTTAGGGCTCCCCCTGTTAAGGTTTCGCCGAACTTTTTCAGTAGCACCGAAGGAACTTGCTCCTTCGAAAGATCGTTACCCTTCACTGATGTGGCGTAGTGGACGCTATGATCATCTGGGTCTGTATGCTGCATAAGTTATGCGGTGAGTTTTAATCCCTCTAGCCAAATAATGCATTATTTTATGCTAAGATTAAATTTCTTAATCCCTTCAACCGTCAGCTGACGCCGCCGACTGTTGTTAACTTGTTATATACATTTTGTTCACAATATATAGTTGCATGCATAAATTAAAAGAGTCGTCAAAAAGTGGTTGCTGCATATTTCATGCATGCACGTATTCTTGTTTTTGGGATTTGTACGGGTCAGAATCCGACCCCACGATAATTAACGAAGCTAATCCCGTCTTAAGCTAATTCATGATTAATTAGTGGCACGACCACTCAGAATTAACAATATTCAACCCGCATCTGATTCGATCAGCAAGGCCATGGCCCATCCGCCACCATGAAGGCGAAATCCCAACGTGGTCACGGCCACTTATTGCCAGCTCAAGAAGCTCACAGCTATAAATACCAAGAGAGGAAACCCTAGAAAGGGGGGGCTTCTTCTTCTTTACTATTCAAGAGAGAGAGAAAGATATAACTATATACATATTATGAGAGAGGAGAACACCATTGTAAGGCTCTGAACCTCTTCAAGGAGAGGCAGACCAAACCAATATTATCAATAAAGGCTTCTAATGTTTCTCCCCCTAGCCCTGAGTACTTATCTTCGTTTCCTTCATATGGTCCAACAGATTATTACGGTTTGCTATGATTTTTCCGTGATTTATTTATATTGTTTATACTCATAAGATATGTGATAACTTTTGAGCAAACAATTTGGCGCCGTCTGTGGGGATTTCCTAGCGAAATCGCGTAGTTCTTCCCTGGACCAAAAGGAAAGAAACGCCAAACGCGAAGGGGAACTCGAAGATCTCAAATCAAGATCTAAGTCCTCTCTCTCTCTCCGATCTCAGATAGTGCAAACAAAAAAGAAGAAGCACCCCCCTCCTAAGGGAAGGTCTCTGTAAGGCATCTCCCACATCCCTGATACGAGCTCCGGCCAGAAACCGGCACGGAGATATATCGAGCCGAGAGTCGCCTCAAGACAGCCTATATACCCTGGTTGGGAAGACAACGGATGAGCCGCTCAAGGTCCCGAATCCAAACCGAGCTTCAGCACTCAATACCCACAATATGGGACTCAGGCCATGAGCCTTCGTCATCAAGATCGACAAAGTTCAACGGCAGTTGAACTAAGACTCGGGCTACGCGCCTTCACCATCAAAAATTGACAAAGTCCAACAACAGTTGAACTGGGACTCAGGCTACGCGCCTTCGCCAGTAAGTTCAACTACGGTTGAACCAAGATTCAGGCTATGCGCCTTCGCCAGTAAGTTCAACTACGGTTGAACCAAGACTCAGGCTACGCGCCTTCACCATCAAAAATTGACAAAGTCCAACAACAGTTGAATTGGGACTCAGGCTTCGCGCCTTCGCCAGTAAGTTCAACTACGGTTGAACCAAGATTCAGGCTATGCGCCTTCGCCAGTAAGTTCAACTACGGTTGAACCAAGATTCAGGCTAAGCGCCTTCGCCACTAAATCAAGGCTATGCACCTTCGCCAGCAAGTTCAACTACGGTTGAACCAAGACTCAGGCTAAGCGCCTTCGTCATTAAATCAAGGCTATGCGCCTTCGCCATTAAATCAAGGCTATGCGCCTTCGCCGGTAAGTTCAACTACGGTTGAACCAAGATTCAGGCTATGCGCCTTCGCCAGTAAGTTCAACTACGGTGAACCAAGATTCAGGCTATGCGCCTTCGCCAGTAAGTTCAACTACGGTTGAACCAAGATTCAGGCTAAGCGCCTTCGCCAGCAAGTTCAACTACGGTTGAACCAAGATTCAGGCTATGCGCCTTCGCCAGTAAGTTCAACTACGGTTGAACCAAGATTCAGGCTATGCGCCTTCTCCAGTAAGTTCAACTACGGTTGAACCAAGATTCAGGCTAAGCGCCTTCGCCAGTAAGTTCAACTACGGTTGAACCAAGATTCAGGCTCTGCGCCTTCACCAGTAAGTTCAACTACGGTTGAACCAAGATTCAGGCTATGCGCCTTCGCCAGTAAGTTCAACTACGGTTGAACCAAGATTCAGGCTATGTGCCTTTGCCAGTAAGTTCAACTACGATTGAACCAAGACTCAGGCTAAGTGCCTTCGTCATTAAATCAAGGCTATGCGCCTTTGCCATTAAATCAAGGCTATGCGCCTTCGCCAGTAAGTTCAAACGGTTGACCAGATTCAGGCTATGC